GGTTTCAATTCCCAAACATGGGGTCACATTTCCTTGCTCGTTGTTTTTAAAGCAGACATTTTGAATTGGGTAGCTAATGGTCAAGCCCTGGAAGTTTTCCTCAGAGATCTCAAACCAAATCTGAAACCAGTAAATGTAATAACAGTCTAAAAAGTTATTTGCTGGACAACAGCTTCTTGGAATAAATGATGAAGGCTTCAGAAAAATATTAGGTGAATGTGTGGGACCAGTCCAAAAATCCTTTATCTGAATTTATGGAAAGTATGATAACTGCATTGAGCAAGCAATTATGCTTTGAGCACTGGCAAAGCAATATCCACGTTCACGCTTTAAATTTTTTTTCTTAAAATATGATGCATACCAATTCAATATAGTGTTTAAATATGCATTCCTATTTTACATTTCTAAATGTAAATTATATTTTGCTGCCCTTTACTGAAGTAAACACAATGCATTCATATGTTTGAAGTGCCTAGATTTCAATGGAACAAGAAACTCAGGAGAAAAAAAAAGAAAGAAACTCAGGTCAATAGAAATATGATGGTTGTAGTAGAAGTTTTCAATATGTGAAGAGATATTATCCATGACACAGTCGCTTAATCTTATTCCTTTAGTAAGAAAAGCAAGAAGAAATATGTGACTTTCAACCATAAAAGAAAGCATCACTTTGATAATATTAATGACTTCATTGTTCTAAATAATTAAACTGACATGTAATAGACAAAAGGTTTTTCTTTCTTTTTTTAAGCATCTCTTAGTAAATAACATGAATGTTTTGAGATACCTTGAACTGTCACCTGCACATAGAAACTCTGTTCCTAAATCAACAGCTGTAGAAAAGATATACATAATTTGTAAAAGATCCCAAAATGGACAATTGCAGTAAGAAAGGATACTATTTGTCTCAAAGTAGATAACATATGGAATGGTTGGTTCATCAGGTTAGAAAATGAAATTTTGAAAGAAATAGCTTTGTAGTCATTAAAGTTAGAAAAAATTGACACTAAACATTTGCCTAATATTAAGATAGAAGTAATACACACTCCTTGAAATGTTTTATAACAGAACAGAAAATGATCCAAATTCCATGAAAACATACAAGCTTTTAAAATAAATATTTATTGAACATCTGCTATTGGCAAGTCACTGTGTAAATAATACTCTGTAAATATCATATAGATTTTGTTTTACCTCAAATCTAATCAAAACTGCAGAAATCCAAAAACATACACACAGTTAAAACATGATATAATTTTGCTAGTTGCCAAGGCAGGTGCTATTCCTATTTTCCAAAACCAACATTATAAAAATATTCTCAAACACTTACTTTAAGCAGTTAAGTAGTAAACATATGGAACTCATTAACTTTTAAATTTAGACAAAAATATAAATATGTTCAAGATATGTTTCATTAAGCTAAATGTTGAGAGATCTATAGTAAGTTTGTGAAAAAAAGTAGAGATTTCACAGGGATATCTTTAAAGCCTATGTTATTGAATAAATATCAAACACCTCTACCCATTATTCTTTGGAATGAAAGAATAAGCAAATGTTAGATGGAACAATCAAGGAGGAATCTATAGTTCTTGATGTTTTGAACTTTTAGATGCCAGACTGGCTTGTGTTATCAAAAGGCATGAGCACATCATTATTTAAAAATTGAATTATATGATTATGAATTCATTTGAGAAAGACAACCTACTAAGTTAAATCTGTGAAGTATTTTCCAGCCTGTGAATCTATAAATCAGAGTTCACTGAGGATTCCCTATTAGATTATATTTATAGAGCCTTCTCCTTTCCATCATCACCACCACATCAGTCTGAGAACAGAAAACTCATTCTCATACTATCTTTGCTAGTGAGGTCCTCTAGAAAAGAAGAGAGAATAACTTGACAAAGTCTGTGGGCCAGATGCAGAAGAACAGACTGAAAGAGAGATAATTCACAACCTGTAAATCAGTAACGCTCATAGAATGCTGAATGACTAATCATTCCAAAGTTGGAGGAGTTCTCTAGAGGAGCAGTTTCATGCTCAGTCCTTGGCATTGATCTGTTCAACATTCCCGTTCCTATCAGCAATTGGGATGATACCATTGAAGATATTATCCAATAACATGCTTCAAGAGCTGGCAAGGAGTGTTGTGGGATGACAGAAGTGAAATTGGAAAAATCTCAATAGGCCAGAATGATAAACTGAAACTGAAAAAAAAAAAAAAAGAAATGTCAAAGTTATAAGCATAAAATGCTGCCTTTGACTCGTCAACAGTGAGAAGGTTTAGCCTAAAATCAGTGAAAATGTGACTACTGGGAAAAGGAATTTGGTCTTATGAAGCACAGTTCTCTGGTTTGTGTGATAAAGGTAACGGTAAGAATTTGTAAAGGATCAATTTATTATTAAAAGAGAATACACAGTACTTCTCTCTCCCTATCACTGGCATGGAGTCAATGTCAACTCAAGACGACCCTTTAGGACAGGGTAGAACTGCTGTTGTGAGTTTCTGACACTGTACCTCTTTAAGGGAAAAGAAAGCCCCATCTTTCTCCCACAGATTGGCTGGTGTTTATTATGTAATAAGGACTAAAATTCAATAAAATTTATAGAGGCTATTTGAACCCAGCCAAATAATTTATTTTGATTTCACAACAAATTATAAAGTGAAATGTGAACACAAATGCCATGTGCTGTTTAGTAGTGCACACTGTTTCTCTTCTAATCACTGAAATTGAATTTGTTGGTTGTGGTATTTATCATTGAGTCAATTCTGACTCATGTTGTTTTTAATATTAAGTGTCATTGACTCAGTTCCAACCCATAGCGACTGTGTTAGTCTGGGTAGACTAGAGAAACAAATCCATAGAAACTCGTATGTATATAAGAGAGGGTTTCATATAAAGGGTAATTGTATATTAAGAAAGCATCCCAACCCAGTCCAGTCCAAACCTATAAGTCCGATATTGGCCCATATGTTCGACACCAATCTATAAAGTCCTTTTCAGACTCACGAAACACATGCAATGAAGCCAAATACAGGATTATCACAGGCAGGTGGGTAGAAAGTCTTTGGATCCAGTGGCATTGTAAGCATCTCAGCACCGGCAGGGGGTTCTTTGTGGCTTCTCTGGCTCCAGAGGTCTGGATCACGGTAGGTCCATGTAGCTTTTTCACAGGGATGTCTCACAGGGAGTCAGACTTGTCAATAGAGAGAGCTAGTGTCTCCTGCCTCCAAGAAGGAATGCCAGGTTTCCCAGAATTCTCAGGGAAGGCCATGCCCACAGAGAAGTCTCATTGGCTATCTCCAGATTGACAGGCTAGACTCCACCCTTACCTTCTTAATCCTCAAAAATGACACCAGATTATGTAACTAGCACAACAAATCTATGCACAAGAGAATAAAACACTACCTAGTCCTGTGCTATTCTCACAATTGGTCCTATCCTATCCTTGCAATCACTGTCATGGTGACCCTACATGTTACAATAGAACTGCTCTGTAATATTGGCTTCTTAGCTGTAAATGGAAGCATAGTAATGGGTCTTTGGTTCCCCAGTACATCTGGGTGACTTGGAACTACCAACTTTTAGACTAAGCAGTAAACCATTGGCCTCACTAGAGACCTTAAAAATGTTAATATCTTATTCATTTGGGTGTTTGTCTGTTTGTTTTTAGCAAATTGGCACAATTCCCTAAAAACAAACAGACAAACACCCAAATGAATAAATTATGTCAGTGGCTACCAGTGTGATGTGCGGTAAGTTACTTGAGATCCTGGTGTCTCAATTTTATTTTCAATAAAAGAGGGGTGATGGTAATGTCTAAATCAGAGGGTTGTTGGAAGAATTCAAGGTACAAAATCAGCAAAACACAAGTCTGGCTCATAAGAAAGTTCAATAAATGTTAGCTGTAATTGGTGAAAAATCGTTAATATGCCTGACTACTAACCAAGGAGGTAGAGGTTTAAGTTTACTTAAGGGCACCTAAATAATAATAATAATAATAAAAAGACTTTTTGATCTAACTTCAAAAAATCAGTCATTGAAAATCCAATGAACATAGTTCTACTCTGACACACATGGAGCAGAAATGATTCAGTAGGAACTAGGTCATTTGTTATTACCATGTTATTAACATGTTTTGTTCATCTTAATGAGCATTTCAAACCAAGAAGGAAATACAAAGACCTTTGACAATATTTGATATGTCTTCACAGTATGCACTGGTTTTATATATAAAGAAATATGAAACTGATGAGATAATGTATATTTTAATGATCAATTTAGAAAAGTTGAATTTAATTTCCTATAATTATGTGAAAATTAGACATTGACTAAGGAAGACTGAAGAAAAAATCATGCATTTGAATTATGGTGCTGGCTAAGAATATTGAAAGTACCATGGACTGCCAAAAGAAAATCTGTCTTGGAAGAAGTACAGCCAGAAGGCGTCTTAGAGGCAAGGATGGCTAGATTTCGCACCATCTCTGGACTTGTTAGCAGGGGAGACTAGTACCTGGAGAAGGACAACATGCTTGGTAAAGCAGAGGGGCCGTGAAGAGAGGAAAACCCTCAACAAGATGTCTTGACACTGGCTGCAACAGCGGATCAAGCAGTCAAACAATGGTGAGGATGGGCCGGGACTGGGCAGGGTTTAACTCGGTGTTACATAAGGTTGCTATGAGTAGGAACCAACTAAAGAGCCCCTCACAATACATTATTTATAAAATCAAGATGACAGTCCAGTGCTTTAAACTCTTATTGAATGTTTCACATTTTACTATGAATGTTTCACATTTTATTTATCTTTTCTTTTCTTTTTGTAAAAACAATTTTATTAGTACTTCATCCGCATGTCATACAATTCAATAATTCAGTCATATTAAGGAGTGCTATACAATTATCACCACATTTAATTCTAGAACATATTCCGCTTCCTTGTACTCATTATTCATGTAATCATTAGTTGTTCTAATTGTGGCAAAAATGTACAAAAAACATTCTCCAAAAAATATGGAACGCTACATGAATGTGCATGTCACCCTTGCACAGGGGCAATGCCCGTCTTCCCTGTGTTGTACCAATTTCAGTATATGTGCTGCCTAAGCAAGCACTCCTCATCTTTTCTTATTATAATACTTTATTATGTATTTGCCAAAAGTTTACACAGTAAATTAGGTTCACATTTAACAATTTCTATGATACATTGTTGGTTGGTATTAGTTATATTTTTCATAATGTTTCAACAGTCTCATTATTTCCATTTGGCTTCATTACCATTAATCTAGCTTCTTTCCTCCCATTTCCATTTCTTCTTTGCTTTAGACTCTAAATCTACAGTTTAGAGTGAGTGTTAACCATTTGTTCTCATTTAGATGGTATTTTTAAAGAAAAACATTGCTGGTGAGTGATATTATTTTGTAAACCAAACTATTTTGATAATGATAACGTAACCTCTGAGTGTGATTTCAGCACAAAGTTTAATGTCTTGGAGGTTTTCTTCTGATTCAGTAAGTTCAAACTTAAAAAAAAAAGAATTTAAATCAGAATGGTCATTCATGCTATCCAGGTATCATTCTTCTGATATCAGGATAGATGACACTGTGACTATTGTAAACCTACAACAGTCTAATAGGCTAATGTCCTTTGAATCTTGTTGTCCTAGGTGCCATCAAGTCAGTGTCCACCTACAGCAACCCTATGCACAACTGAACAAAACACCAGCCTGGCCTGTGCCAGCCTCACAATGGCTCCTACGCTTGAGCTCACTGCTGCAGCCACCATGTCAACCCATCTCCTTGAGGGTCTTCCTCTTTTGAGATGCCCCACCACTTTATGAAGCATGACATCCTTCTCTTCAGGGACTGGTCTCTCCTGACAACTCAGTAGGAGTATATAATTCATAGTATTACCATCCTTGCCTCTAAGGATCACTCTGACCTTCTTACAATACAGACTGTTTTGTTATTTCAGTAGTCCATGAAATTTTCGATATTCTTCTCCAGCACCATAATTCAAATGCATAGATTCCTCTTCAATCTTCTATATTCAATGTAAAACGTTTACATGCATATGCAGCAATTGAAATTATTATAGCTTGGGGTAAGCCCACCTTTGTCCTCAAATTAACATCCTTGCTTTTCAATGTTTTAAAGAGGTCATATGCAACAGATTTACCTAATGTAATGAATGCATTGTTTAAACTCTTGGCTGCTGCTTCCATGAGTAATGATTATGGATCCAAAAGACAAAATCCTTGAAAATTTCAATCTTTTCTCATTTATCAGGATGTTGCTTATTAATCCAGTTGTGAAGATGTTGGTCTTATTGACATTGAGTTGCAATTTCTACTGAAGGCTGTAATTTCATGACTTTCTCAGCAAGTGCTTCAAGTTGTCCTCATGTTCAGCAAGCAAGGTTGTGTTGTCTGTAGACTGTAAGTTGTTAATACTCTTCCTTCAACCTTGATGCCATGTTCTCCTTCATATACTCTAGTTTATCTGATTATTTGCTCAATATACAGATTGAATAATATGGTAAGAGGACACAACTTTAATGCACACCTTTTCTTATTTTAAACTATGTAAGTATGTCCTTATTCTGATTGCACAACTGCCTCTTGATCCATATACAGGCTCCCCATAAGCACAATGAAGTGTTCTGGAATTCCCATTCTTCTCAAGGCTGGTCATAGTCTTTTATGATAGTTGAATGCATAGTCAATAAAACATGAGTAAACATTTTTCTGGTATTCTTTGCTTTCAGTCAAGATCCATCTGAAAGTAGCAATGTTTACCCTTGTTCCAGGTCTTCTGAATCGGGCCTGAACCTCTTGCTGGAAGTTCCCTGTCAATGAACTGCCTGCAAATATTGTTGGATATTGTTCCAAAAGAGTAGACAAAAATAATTGCACCATAGATGGTTGTTCACAACCTTTAAGAACCCATAAACTTCTTACCAAACTGGGATTTAGAACATACATTTTATGACCTATATTGTGACAGTTGACTAAGTTTCCCCAAGAGACAAGAAGAGTCTTAATTCTTCAGATCCAGTAAATCAATCCTCTATGGTGTTTGGTTATGTGTTGGAAGTATTCATACCTGTCCCCCTTATATGTTTTATTATATAAATAAGTAAATATGCAGTGCACACACACATCCATATATACATACATCTATTTTTCAATGCACACATCTCTACCTATGTTACTACACACATATTTCTTGGTTATTATTTCTATTGTACAATTATACATGGTTTAAAAAACAGCCCAGAGAGAGACAGGTGTAAGAAGCCCGCAGGTGCAGGTTGACCAGACAGACGGTGGACGCCGGCCTCAGCATCAGTGGAATCATTCTGACGGATCTGAGAGCTAGTGACTGGTCGGTTTGGAGATCACCACACCTAATAAAAGTGTTCGCTGGTCCCAAGAAGAAGGGCTGGCCGAGAAGAAGGTCCCGAAGTTACTTCTGAAAAGGAAACTGGAGCATAGCGGAAGGTTGGAGGCAGAGAGTCTCGGATCTGTTCCATTCAAACACTGTTGAAGCAACACACAGATCCACGGGACCACGGGGCCAGCTCAGCCTGAATTGTCTTCTTGTTGCTGATTTTTGTAAATTCTCTAAATATTTGAAAGAGTATACCCTAGTCGTATATGTTATTTCCAAAGATTTTTCAGTCCGTTTAATCATCTTAATATTACTAGCACCTACTACGGGTTAAGTACACATTTTATGCTAAATCCTAAATTTGTTGTTTTTGTGTTTGGACACCATTCAGTCCACTCTGACTCCCAGCAACCTTATGTGCAGCAGGAAAAAAATTGTTGCGCAAACCGGCACAAGTCTCACAATTGCTGTGTTTGAGTCCATTGTTGTAGCCACTGGGTCAGCTCATCTTGCTGAGGGTCTTCTTTTTCCTGGACCCGCTACTAAGTAATATTTCCTTCTCCGGGGATTGCTCCCAACTTAAAACATGTTTAACTTGCTTTTCACTCTTAAGGATCATATTTGTTACACTTATTGTACTAGAAATTTTAAATGGATACGTATTAAATATTTATTTATCTAAAGGTTGGTTTTGAGGAAACTGGAAAGTATCACTTCTCCAGAATCCAGCCTCTCCCATACTTCTTATCCTGCCAACCTTCTCAATACCAATGTTTTGCTTTTGTCTCTTATTTTCTTTCTTCACCAGTTATTTGAAACAGCCTGCTATACCTGATAAGTTGTTAACATCTGATAAGACTGCTTCTTTGATCTCTTCCTACATATTGTCTTTTACCAAGAATTCAAATCTTCGGGCAAAGAGGTGAATCTATCAGCCTAGGTTATCTGTGCCTTTCCCCAGAGATCATTCACCTCTCCAACTACAGGTCTCATAGACCAAAACACCTAGCTATATTAATAGAAGTGAATCAAAACCACAGACTGTTCAAAGGAAAGTTAGAATGTTCACTTCTAAAACTAACAAACAAAATTAAATTTTAGCTACGAAATGTGGGCAGGTTTTGAGAACCTTGAAATGTAAGCTTTAAACACGACAATGCTCATTCTTCCTAATTCTCCTTACACTTAGGCAAGATGAAAAGTAGAAATGGGAGAAAACAAACTTTAAAAAGGCTATTGTCCTCTAAGGGGGACAACACTGGAGACTCAGTGTCAGGACTGGCCCAGACTGACCGTGAGACAACGAGGCAAACCACAAAAAGCATGCAGCAGAGAAACCGTGGGAGCAGAGCAGAGAGCCCCGGAGGGAGTACAAAGGAGAGACTCAGGGGCCAGAGCATGGTACCCCATAGGTCCAGACTGAATGACACACCTAGAGATAAAAAATCAGACCTTGATCTATTTATAGGTTTTTCTTTCTGCTTAAATTTTTTTCTTTTAATGAATTTATTCTTCTGTGGGTAATTGGTTTCCTTTTTTTGTTGCCATCACTGTGTTCTCACTGATCGCCTATCTTGCTATGGCTTGGTTTTTGATGCATATTATTATCTCTACAGATCTATCTAGATAAGGTAGACTGGATGAACAGTCTGGAGGAGAAAACAA